TGATTTTCATCCAAATTTGTCAAAAAGGTAAAAAAAAGAAGGAATTTTACATGGTATTCTGAGAGAGAGAGGTGAGGTGATGAGGTGAAATGGTGTTTAACGCTGTGCTTGAGAATATTTCGCTCATATGAGGACGTGCATGTGTGTGTATGTGTATGTGCAGCTGCTTGTACTAACCCAGACTTAAGCTGGTTTTATAGTGCTAGCCCACTGAGATACCATGCTGCAGTGAAGCATGAATACCCCACTCAGACACATTATACTGACTCCGAGCCGACCAGTCCTTGTTGTACCCATTAATGCGATGCCGAGCGCCAGGCAGGACCAACCATATTTTAATGGCGATGGCGATCAGGATTGAACCAGCGACCTTCCGCTCTCCGGGCGGACGCTATAACCACTACACTACGGAGGCGGTCTGAGAGAGAGAGAGAGAGAGAAAGAGAGAGAGCGAGTGAGTGAGAGACACAAAGAGAGAGATACAGAAAGAGACTGGGAGAGAGAGAGAGAGAGAGTGGGGGGGGGATTCGAGTGAGTGACTGTCTGTCTTGTTTTCTGTCTGTCTGTCTGTGTGTGTGTGTGTGTGTCTCTCTGTGCACGAATCTGAGTCCGTGTCTGTGTGTCTGAGTCTGAGTCAAGAGAGGGCTGCATGATTTGTATCTCATAGGCCATGTTGGAGACAATTAAACTACATTTCTTCTCCCTTGAGTATAGCTGATCCAGTCAAGACAAGATGACAAACAATGGACATTGATATGCTTTGGGTACTTGGGGTATTTCACCCATGGGTTAGACTTTGATTGGGTATTCACACCTTTTCGTAGAATTTCAAATAATTTTACCAACCTGTTTCTTGACATTTGGGTATTTTAACATAAAAACATGTTTTGTAACAATCCCTGTAAATGAAATAAAACTAAATGAATAATACATTTAGCTTAGTTTCAAATGATTTCTGGTTTACTGGGGTGTTAACCTACCAGTATTCATGTTGTACAAATGGCTATTGTTACATTGGGTCAACAAACATCAGAAAACTTCCAAACTGGAGGTACACATTTCCAAATTCATGCTGGCGTATATAAGCTAAAATACACAGCTGGAATTACACCAGAAATGGATTGTATCATGTGGGGAATTGACATGACAAGCCAACTCTATAGGCAACACCACCGACCCCAACCAACATAAAGAGTATTAACTACCTGGCTTAATATTACCACATTAAATGCAATATTCAAGTCAAAAGTCAAAGTCAAAAGATGTTTTATTGTATGAAAGGCCTCCAGCCCATATACATGAGAGTTACAATGTTAAATGAATATTTTGGATATTTACATATATATTTAAGGGTATACAATTTGTTTTATAAGAAGATCTCTGTTTGCTAATGCATGCTTTATATACAAAGACAATTGAACAAGAATATTTTCATTATTAGTTTGTAACAAAGATCAGGGGTGGAAATAACTTTAAAATTGCTAGTGTACTCCGGTACAGTGGCACATGTAAAATCACTTGCCCTGATCATTTTTCCACTATACCGGCTGTTTTCTTGTTGATTTTTTAAATAAACAACATTATTAACATTGGAAAGTCAACTGGACACCGGTACAGTGTGATATACAAATTTGCTTGCCCGACAGAAAAAAACACTGGACTCGGACGTCGGGCAATGGGTTATTTCCACCCCTGAAGATATATATGCATATAGGGGTTGTTCTGCAAGAAAATGTCTGGTATATATATATATATGTTTCTGTTTTATTCATGATAACACTGACATATCAGTGTGAAATGAATTTCATTTTCTATATTAACATTCAATGTTACAATTCCTTAAATTTAGGAAAATATGAACTTTATAAAAAATATCCCAAACTGGACCACAATAAGTTTTTTTCCCAATTTTCTCATTGAGAGCACTTAGATTGGAATGTTAGATAAATCCTGGTATCTATGACACACGGTACATCTGACTCCATTGTAGTGATATCCACGACTGTGCCAGAGGTTGTCATGTGCATCACCAGCATAGGTTATCATTATTAAAAACCTTTGAACATTTCACAGCAAGGGGTGTCTCCTTTCATCCTACACAGTAGGCACACATAACATCTATTAATGGAAACTAGCTCTCTACCAAGTATCTAATTACTGATTGCACTCAACTGAACTGAACTTAGTACTGTTAGGCTGTGGTCCACGGCATTAGAAGAAGGTATATACTTATGATACAGGGCCCTGTTCCTCAAAGCGATCGTAGCGCTAAGATGATCGTAACTCCCATACTTTAACATAGATAGTCGTAGCGCTACAATTGCTTTGAGGAACAGGGCCCTCGTTCCTGAAAGCGATCGTAGCGCTAAGGTGATCGTAACTCCCATACTTTAACATAGACTTACGATAGTCGTAGCGCTACGATCGCTTTGAGGAACGGGACCCAGGGCTTGTAAATCACTACAATCCAATTGAAACTTTAACTTACAAACACTCCACCGTTCCTCAAAGCAATTGTAAGTTACAATCACTTTCCTAAGTTCCTTATGACCGTCTGTAACTTACTTACAATCGATTGTTGTGTATGAATAAGATGGCGGCATTTGTTGTAATTATTAATTTTTGTGGCTCAAATCACATTATATATTATGTAAAGAAACAGAAATTATTGATTAGTCACACACTTCTCGGCAATACCTTCCCACAGTCTCCCCTTGACATTGGTTGTCAGAGTTGCCGATAAAGCTCCAAATAAGGCCGACTCATAACGTGTGACCTCTTAACAAGAATTTCAAGCTCACTTGCTTTAAAGTTAGACCTCCTACTCTTCTTTTCCTCGGACATGATCTCAGGCTTCGTTTATGTCGTCTGCTTGAAAGGGGAAGCAACTCTCACCAACCGGAACTAATGTAAACGCATTATTTCTAACTTTCGCTCAAAAGATCATGATTGTAATTTACGATCGAAAGATTTACAATCGCGAGACTTTCAATTCCCTTACAATAGCTTGGAGGAACAACAATAAATTGTTATTTACGATAATTGTAAAGTTGATCGCAGGGCTTACAACTGATTGTAGCTACGATCGCTTTGAGGAACGGGGCCCAGGTACAAAAGCGATAACATTCAGGGGACAGGTAGTGTTGCAACAAAACAAATACATACAATAATAAGATACAGGTTAATATGTTATCGAAATGTTTGCATAATAATTTTACAAATACTTCAGTGTTTTAACAATCCATTCTTTTTAGTTGATAATAGCAAGACAAAATTTGGAGTGAGTGAGTCACTTTAGTTTTACGCTGCACTCAGCAACATGGCGATGGTCTATAAATGATCAAGTCTCGACCACACAATCCAGTGATCAACAGCATGAGCATCGATCTATACAATTGGGATACGATGACATGTGTCAACCAAGTCAGTGAGCCTGACCACCCGATCCTGTTAGTCGCCTCTTACGACAAGCATGGGTTACTGAAGATCAATTCTAACCCATATCTTCACGGGTTGACAAAATTCGGAATATTGGGACATTTACTGATCAGTGTTATAACTGTGTAGGAAAGATATACAGGTCTCTAAAACAAATCCTTGAAAGGGAACATTTTGTGGGTGACTAGACAAATTACCCCTTCCATTTATAACTTGGTATTTATGGGACAAGCTCCCTTGACCCAGGTGGCTAATGTCTTGACAATTACTTAACAATTATCAACCTTTGCCAAGTTTACAATCTTTGACTTTCAAGCCCTGGGACACCCAATACCTTCTGAAACATTGGGATGTGGATTGCTTAAGGATTTGGGTTCATATCTAAGTGGAACAAAACAACTGACCATTATATGTGCACTTGTCTCATACTTCATGTTAGTGTGATAATGATATAGAATGAGCACATATGTAATGCTTCTTGATTAGAATAGGTCCCAGCAGTGTATAGTGAGTGAGTTGGGCTTTATGACGCTTTTAGCAATATTCCAGCAACATCACGACGGGGACACCAGAAATGGGCTTCACACACTCTACACATATTTCCCCACATGGGTACAATGAGTGAATCCCATTTCTAGTGTTCTTTGCCGTGATATTGCTAAAAGCGGTAAAAACTCACGCACTCACTCCACCCATGTGGAATATCGAACCCAGATCTTCGGCATGACGAGCACATGCTTTATCCACTAGCCTACCCCCCACCCCCGGCAGTCTATAAGAGGAGAGGGGATGGATATGGTAGTCAGGCTCCGTGATTTGGTTGATCATGATGGCACCTCCGCACAGCCCAACATAACTTCGATCACAAGATTTGATTATTGACAGGCCAACATTATATTGCTGGAATATTGCTGTGGCACTTAAAGAACATGGACATAACCACAGACCCAAAAATACATGCCAACCTTTAACAAGTGACAATATATTTAAATTACAATCTTTTTATGGCTCAACAAAAATTTACGTATTTTCCATTGAAATGTTTCAATTCATGGTGCAGTCAGTTGTGACTAGCAGTAATTCTGTTACCAAAATTGTTTCAGAATAAATACCATTGCAACATAATGTCTACTTATAAATAGCATTGTTTGCAAAAAGATCCACCTATTTTCAAAAAATGCTATAAACAAGTTTTATTACATGGTCTGTGTCATATTTTGACATTGAATAATAAATTTTCATCTGCAGTTTGTTTAGTTTGGCCACAGCGATAGTTAGTAACTTTAACAATACGTTGATAAAGAGAGTCCATTGATCAACTCGTACGATCACAACCATATACCATGCCAACATACAGATAATAGATCTGTATCCGTAAACAATACGTCTCATCGGTCATTGTCACCAGAAAAAACACAAACTAAATCGACGAACACATGAACATATGCTGCAAAAGGTGCTACTGACATCTGCCAGTTGCCAGTCACATTTCTAAATGGAAGGAGTTCTGTCAAGATCGTAATATTTATTTTCTTATAAACGTTACGTGTTATACAACTTACCGTGTTCTAAAGAAGCGTCTAAGTAGACCACGTCGCCATGCATCTAAAACGTCTGGTGCTGTGGTCTTATCTTCCTCAAATTTACTGACTCTTGGTTCAGACACGGCGCTTCTTGCCTCGGCCATTGCGATCTGAGGGGAACGATCAGCGTTCAGCTGTCAGACGCTACAAACTGTCAACACTTCCAACATGCGGACTTTGGTCGCACGCGAAATCGCAACCGGCTGAGCCGTAATGTTACCTTCCTCACAACTACGTCCAATACCGTTCGCTTTGCAGAGACGTCTACTGACACAGCGGTGATAAAGGATTCCGTTTTCTTAAAATGTTCACCTGGATTCGACGTCAAAGTTAAACAAAATAACTGGTTTTAACTTAATCGATTACGTCAGATTAACGTGTACGATTTTTCGTAAAATATTTATGACACATCATCAGATCTGAAAATATAAACGAACAAAAGGACATATTTTAATATTTAAAAAAACTGTAATTGTCAGTTTGTAACAATTGTATTCAAATGTCAGCTTAGACGACCAAACCATATTATTAGAAATAATTATACGACATATGATTATAAATTATGTGTACAGTAATGGCAACGTTGTCAGTACAAGCGACCTAATCATACGAATAAATGAGATTTGTGATATGCATAGAACAATGAATAAATAACTAGGCCTCGATTTCTCCAAACAAACTTAAGTTTGTACTCAAGTATCAAACTGAGTTTGACAATTTGAAACAGCTGCATTTTTAACTCAGCTGCATTTTTAAAATAAAAAAGCCCAAACAACTTAAGTATTCTATTCACCGAACTCAAATTGTCTACTATGTTTGAGTTTAATATCGATTTCAGTTCAACAATGGGAAATGCGTTTTCTCAAATTTGAGTAAAAATTTGAACTTAAGTCAAAACTCAAACTTAAGTTTGTTTCGAGAAATCGGGGCCAGGTCTCATGCACAGGTCAACCCAATTATTGATTATATTCTTTCATTCATACAGGCAAAGATGCCATCATTTTAAGTGTATATGGTCTGTGATATGGGTAATGACCCCAGACAAGCTGAATGCTAAATGGAAACCACGGATCATATATCCTATGCACCAGAACAGATACACGCCGTGGTTACATAACCACAGTTGACATGTGTTAAATGTGCACTCTCACAACCTGTCAATGACCGAGCATCAGAAGAACAACGGAAACACAAGGCTGTGGGTTAATACCATGAAGCGGGAATGACAAGCTGTGGTTGTTACATAAAACACTTTATATTTGCCTGATGTCTCATGTTTTGAAAAGATTAACTGAACACCGATGTTGCAAAGCTAACATACACATGTGTACAGATACAGATGGTTTGAATGTTCAGTTTGCGTCTGAATAAATTTACTTGGAAATTGTGTTTCATTTTAATGTTTGAAAGCTGTCAAACAGCATGTTATCGTTGGCCTCAGAACAAAGTTTGCAATATCTATTGGTAATTTCAAAGCTGATAAACATTATGCTTACTTTTAATATTATAGATGTAACTACCGGGCTATGACGCATTGAGTGAGTATTGTTTAACGCCGCTTTTAGCAATATTCCAGCAATATGCCGGCGGGGACACCAGAAATGGGCTTCACACATTGTACCCATGTGGGGAATCGAACCCGGGTCTTTGGCGTGACGAGGGACGCTTTTCCACTAGGCTACCCCACCGCCCCCATGACGCATTGAAATTGGCTTGACGTCAATCAATCAACTCAACTGCACAGAAACATACACCCTAACACTTATTGATAGTTTTAAACTGTAACTATGTCGGTTTATTTCAGTAAGCAGTATACGACGAACGGGGCATCTACTTTTGTTGTCTATACTTAAGTCTGAATGTTTCTAATCTTTGAATGGCATTTAGAAGTGGAATGCATAACACATGTTATATTTGGGATTACACTTTCTTAGTAAAGTACAAATTCTAGTACTTTTTTGGTTGAGCCCCATCCGGGATTTGGACTCACATCCTCAGAGTCAGGCACCTAATCGCCAACACACAAAGTCAGCCGCCTAACCCGCTCAGCTACCGCGACTTCCACAAAAAATAGAAGTCGGACAACTGGTAGTCCAGACTGCGGACTTTGTGTACCCCTCTGATAAGTGTTAATTGGCACGGCTCCCACGGCCGAAAGCTATGAAATACACAATGCCATTTAGAAAGTGGTCAAATGTAACATATGTTATATTTGGGATTACACTTTCATAGTAAAGTACAAATTCTAGTACTATTTTTGGTTGAGCCCCATCCGGGATTCGAACTCACCCACAGAGTCAGGCACCTAATCGCCAGCACACAAAGTCAGCCGCCTAATCATGTAATCAGGGAATGTATAAGAAAAGCAAGATGTATGGATGTCAACTGCTTTATTGTCAATAACACGAAGTTTCGGGGCGTATGAATGTTTCTGTTGAAGAAATTAATAATTTCTTTGGAATAATGGCATCTCGATTTAAATCTGTCAGAATCTGTGTAACCAGCCATCACAGACATTACGGCCCTGTTGGTCCGCCTGAAGTCCCTAAACAATAATAGTTTCCTTCCGCCCAACTCTTTTTGTAATGCTAAGATCCGAATGAAGCAAGTCTAGATTTCCTCAGGTTCAGGGATGAGTTGAGTTGAGTTGAGTTGGGCTTTACGTCACATCGGCATTATTCCAGCCATATAGTGACGAGAACAAGTTTGCATTAATAAACATTGTAAATACATACTCGGAATGAGTTTTATTTCAAAAGCATATATTCATTACATTGTCATTTAAAAACCGAAAAAGTCATAGCACTAAATTTAAAAGCAGGCAATTCGTTAGTCACAGTACACAGTTACAATTTATGATACAGATCAACTTCCCTCAGGTAGTTCACTATCAGATGAGTGGGTCAAAAGTAGATGAGAATAAGATATTGTCGACATGAAGACGGAGAGAGTGATATATTTACAAAATGACCCCTTGAAAATTTACTAGCCAGGCGGGCCAGTGACTGGAGATTTACTGTCCCGACTGAATTTTCACTAGCCACGGGCTAGCGGGCCAGTGGCTTTTTCGCACACTGCACTCTAGTATTAGACTGGCATCAACTAAAATTGAAATCTTTGGGTGCAAACAAGTGTTTTTGCTCAGCTGCGTAGACACACACATACGGGTTATATCTCATTAGTTAAACACCGGCTGCCAGACAGTGGGTACATCTCCGAAATGAACAGATTTCTTTAATAAATAAATACAAAAAGGAGCCCAATGACCTTCAATATATTCTGAAATTGCGGTAAATTAGACTAGACACGGGCTGTTCATGGTATACATGTATTTGTTTCAGGGTCCCAGGCACTCTGGTGTCTGGGAGACAGATGAACTTCGACCCCATGTCCCAAGTTATGGGTGGTACATCATACACTGCGACCTAGCGCTGATTGAAACACTTCTCCTCTGGGGGAACTAAGTGAGCAGAACCAACTTGGACTTTGGACCTGCACCACCAAACCACAAAACACTTTGCACAGAAACTCCACTAAGTGCTTGTATGCTGCTGGCCACAAAGGTCGCCCTGGGTGCAGAATACTTCATGTTATAATATGAAATCATATAACTTTAATCTTCAACCCTGTATTTCATTATTCTAATATCAACCCGAAGTGTTATAATCTGTCTGACAGATTAACCAAATTATGACTATGACTATACGATGGTTGTCTCATTGCGTCATTACGGGGAGACTTATCACTACTAATTAGTACTAAGCCCATTAAATAACGCCAAAACCTTCACAGCGTTAGGTATATTTCTAATAAAAACTGGCCTTCTGGGTCGCATATAATCCCACAAAATGCCACGTACCAGTACCAATATTAAAAAAAACCCACACAAACAACATAACCTAAAAAACTCACAAAAACAAAACAAATACCATGCAAATCACCCCGTAGCTCAGCTTCCCCTATCAGTTCTGACAAATTTCCAAATTAAAAATTCATGCAACCCTATCGCCCCCATCAGGTTTCCACCTCTTTCGGTCAAATCATCCCTCTTTTGATCAAATCATCCCTCTTTTGATCAAATCATCCCTCTTTTGATCGAACACTAAATGGCCCGCCGGGCCTGTGTGCGAAATAAGCATAATCCAGTCTGGACCAGACAAACCAGTGATCAACAGCATGAGCATCGATCTACGCATGGGACAGGATAACATGATACATAATCATGTGCGCATACAGTAGCGATTGACATGAACATTGAATAATAACGAATGATGACACTTTTTATGGATATACAACTTCTTTTATTGTGAAAGGCGACCTTTCGACATAGATTATAATGTCGTTGTCAAGCAAGTGATGACAACGCCATTAGAATCCATGTCGAAAAGTCGTCTTTCACAATAAAAATTGTCATCATTCTTCATCAACTCAACTTCTAAAATGCCCATCAAAGAAGTCACTGAACAATTACGAAGGAAAATTTCATTTTAGATGTAATGACATAGATAGGTTTGTTCTTTGCTGGAAGAAAGAATACTAGTATTTAAACGTGACAACAGATGGTTCCACTTAATAATAATTTTGAATTAACTTTTCTAAACTTGGGTGAATACGGAAACAGATGGTAGCCATGCACGTATGTACGCAGACCTGTAACTTGAGAACTGCCATGTCATACTGTAACCTGATATTGTGTTCATTGAAGGTTGAAAAGTAAACGTGATCCAGGTCAAATGGTAATTAGCCTTTACGACTTAAGCATTGTACGTCCCTCCTTTGACATATAAGCACATGTACATATTAACATATTTCGTGTTTATTACACTCCATGGATATAAAACGGAAGACCAGCAATTTATGTTTAATTACATTTGTTGTCAAATCAAAACTACGCATTATTATTTTTTATCAAAAGTAACGTAATTGTCCATCTCCAGAATAAATTCCAGTAGAATACCTTGTCGACATGGAATGATGGCAGTTCACGTAAGGAAAATAGTCTTGTCGGAAAATACTCTCGATAGCAGAACGCCTCTTCATACAACAAAGTCAGTTTGCAAATTATTTTGGAATCATATTTATAGCAATGATAATCACAGATACAATGTGTGTATAGAGATATGTTTTTCATAGCAACATACCACATTTACTAATCCGTCGTGAAACGAAATATTCCATTTGCAATTTCGCGCACATGTGGTCACGTGACGTTTGATATAGACATGCAGGAGTTGTAGTTCTTGTGACATTGGCTTCATATTAGGAAAAACATGTATGTATTATTGATTTTGTGCATTTCTAAGAAGCGTTTCTCGTAGTTTAGAAACCACGCTATAACATGCAAGCTGCCTGACTTTGAAAGGAAGCGTCTGAAAACCGTTGTTTATTCAGCTTTATTACGGTAGTCAGACGTCCGCCATCTTGGACGGTGTGTTATGATAATATACAGCATATCTGCGGCATTTCATTAAAATATAGTATTTGCATGGCACGTGCATGACAGTCGTGTAGAGGTAGAGGGTTTTCAGTGCTGTTCATTTATTGATTTGTCATGGAAAGGTCGGTTTGATATTTGGCAACTACCGACTCCGGCTGAAGGCGGGCTATTTTTAGACCGGAAAGATGTTTTCTCAGACATGTGTTATGACTAGTTGTATATCAACATGTATGTTTTTACGCAAAACAGGCCATAAACGAGGTTAACACCTCGATAATCGATATCTTATCTATCATTGTAACTTGTGCAATGTTTTTCGAACCAAAGATAGAAACTGTTGGTAATATAATTCAAATATTGGGAATTGCAATGGGAATTAGGTCTGTTATTATAGGCCATTGACAAATTATGGATTAAAGTGATGACATATATTGACAGTTATAAAATCTGAGGGTCTTTATCAAGGATTCAAAATGCACCTGGCTAGCAGTATAAAATATTGTTTTGCTCAAAACTGAGATTTCTTGAAGTTCTTTTTATTCCAATTTCATTGTGGTATTTTAAGATTAGTGTATTCAGTGTATATGTAGCTCAGTATTAAAACCTCTTTATGTTTATGGCTTTTTGGTGAAATCCATGTTTTATACCTAACTTTATAGGTAGTTCTTAATTATGTATTTTAACATGAATAGGGAGTGTGGGTTTTTTTCAGTTTGGTAATTTTTATGAAATTTTCTGGAGAATTCTCTGAGCATATCAAGATAGTTTAGCATTTTGTACAATGAAAATTTGAATTTGAATGTTGTGACTCAATAATAATAAAGTTTTCATAGGAATGAGCCTTAAGGTTGAAAGTCAGGGCTCAGTTTAATCACTTAGAACTTTCATTGCTGCAACCTGAAATAATTTTGCTATGATTTATGTTCTCAATCATCAATGATCAAATCCTAATGCAAGTAATGTATATAATTTATACTGAGCAGCATGATTTTGTCTGGAGCAACAAGGTTATTACTTTGTGTTGCAACAGATGCAAGTGTGATTCATTTCCTTTATTCTGACCCTGCATTGTGTAAGTGTAAAGCAGGAAGAAAATAAATGTCAGGCTTTTGTATCATGTATGTGTGATAAATTTCATACTATTCCAAATCTTTACCTGTTTACACAAGGGGTTGTGGACTAGCATAGTGGTTAAAGCGTTCGCTTGTCACACCAGGGTTTTACACAGACTTTTAAAAATGGGAGTCATGGTGACTCACAATATTTATTTTTGGGAGTCATTTTCAATATTTGGGAGTCATGAAAAGTTTAATATTTCTTTGTGTTAATCATTCTCAGTACGTAACTGTGTATGTCACACCACCAAATGAAACGACAGCATTGTTCAATTCAAACAGCCAGGCTTACTGTCTCCTCCGAGTTCCCTGGAACAATCTGACAATATCATTTTTTGCTTATGAAATCGATTTTATTGAACTGAGTTGTGAGGGTCACCCATAAAACTTGCGTCAAGCTTGACTCATATGATAATCTTTTGAGAGTCGTTTACAAAATTGTTGCGTCAAATACGCAGGAATCACGCGTCATGTAAAACCCTGGTCACGCCGAAGACCAGGCTTCGATTCCCCACATGGATACAATGTGTGAAACCTATGTCTTGAGTCTCCCGTCATGATATTGCTGGAGTTTTGCTAAAAGCGTCGTAAAACCCAATTCACTCACTCTTTACACAAGTTTATAATTTGGCTTTTGGGTATGCTAGTGAGGTCTCTTATCTAATCTTGTATTGTGTAAATATGTTTCCTCGTTGATTCGTGATTTGACTGCTGTTGTATGATCTGGTAATAATAATCATATGTAGCTAACTTCATGATACACTCTTCTGTGGAACATGGTTTCAGGATCCAATAAATATGCAAATAAGGTCACCTAGCAGGATCCAATAAATGGTTTCAGGATCCAATTGATATACAAATGACTGACTGAGATTGGTTTCAGGCCGCTTTTAGCAATATTCCAGCAATGTTTTTACAGGATCAATTGCAAATAGGGGACACCAGAAATGGGCTTCACACATTGTACCCATGTGGTCACCTAGCAGGATCCAATAAATGTTTCAGGATCCAATACTTTAACCATTAGGCAATAAACAGGATCCAATTGATATACAAAATAGGTCACCTAGCAGGATCCAATAAATGGTTTCAGGATCCAATTTATATTCAAATAGGTCACCTAGCAGGATCCAATAAATGGTTTCAGGATCCAATTGATATACAAATAAGGTCACCTAGCAGGATGCAATAAATGGTTTCAGGATCCAAATAAATATGCAAATAAGGTCACCTAGCAGATCATACTAGTAAAGTTTCAATAATTGATATACAAATGGTTTCATAGCAGGAACTACTGTCAAACTATACATGCAAAATGCTATATTTCTCTGTAAACTATTGAATAATTTTCAAACATGCTCAGATAAGGGATTTACATGTTGGATGGCTCACACAAAAGCTATTTTCATGCACTGTTTGTAGCGCTAGTTTATTGAGTGCAATTACATTTTAACATTTCATATTTGAAGATGGATGATTGAAGAAGTGTTTACCCATGTGTGTTTTGCCAGAGTGCGTGAGTGATTTGGGTTTTATGACACTCTTAGCAATATTCCAGCAATATGAGATTTAGATGCTCATGATCAGAAAGAATGAGTGAATATGGTTTTACGCCACTTTCAGCAATATATTGGCAATATCACGGTAGGGAACACCAGAAATAGGCCTCACACATTGTACCCATCAGAGGTACAGATAAGCTGCGTACATGCGTAAATTACGCAAATATTTTTGTGAAAACTCAATTCCTATTAAGTCTATTGCGTACGGGTACGCTTGATTTTTTGTAAATACTCAATAAATTTGATCTTACATGCATACACACAAAAGAGATAAAATAACACAGGTATATTGAGAGGTTCTATTTAGGCACCTGAACTTGACATCTTGCAGCATTTCTGATCGTTTCTCATATAACAGATCAAATACAAATAACAAACACATAAACCAACATTTAAACTTTATTATAGTTTTACAATTTATGGAAAATGGCAAAATACCCAACTGAGTTTGAGTGAGGTGGGTACAATTTATTTGGTTACTCAAAGGAAAATTAGGATACCCAATTGAGATGAACACAAGCGAGTACATAACTCAATGGCTCAAAAATTTATCTGTAGCTCTGACCCATGTTGGGAATTGAACCCGGGTCTTCGGCGTGACGAGTAAACGCTTTAATCATTCCGCTACCCCACCACCCTGTTTTGAAATAATAATAAACCTTTTATTCCCAGTACAGAAACACTGTTGTCCAATAATCTCTATTGGTTTGTCACGTGGTTGGTATAATTTAAAGTCGCCATGGGGCTGAGGTAGCCTAATGGCTAATGCTTTTCCTTGTCATGCCTTTGGTTGGGGTTCGGTTCCCAATATCATTACAAAGTATGACAGTCATTATTGAGTTTGTTGTAATACTTCTCATAGTATATATCACAACTCCTTATGGCCTGTGGAGTAACTCATAAGGTCTTCCATAACAGAGCTCCAGATAAGATTTAGCTCATGTGGGTACTGTACCCACTGTAATTTTTTGGAGTGGGTATTATGAATGTTGAGTGGGTATTTCATTTTCCGTTACCCACTGCTTTCAAATATGTGCGTATTTCAGTCATTTTACTCACCTAAGTATTATGTCATGGAGTAAGTTTACTAAGCAGGTATGTCCTGCCTTATATCATACCTAATCAAAACCAACTTAAATATAATGGAAATGATTTCATAAAAAAATCACTTATCCAATACTGACAGTACAACACTAGTCCTATACTAACAGTACAACTTGATAGCAATCGATGTCTTTTTTATTACGCAAGCGATTTTTATAAATATATTCCGTACGCATTTGTTTTAAACTATTTGTGTATCTAACATTTAAATGCGTAATTGGTACGCAACAATTATTTTTCAATGCGTAATTGGAAATTTTCTATGCGTATTTTACCCAGATACGCAGCTTATCTGGGCCTCTGCATAAGATGTACGGAGTTGTGATATACTGTGGCAAGTATTGCAACAAAACCAAGGAACAGAAACACAAGTATGGAGTAAGATCCAGGTTAGAATTGATCTTGAGTAGCCCATGTTTGTCGTAAGAGGCGGCTAACAAGATCAGGTGGACAAGTTCACTGACTTGATTGACACATGTCGTCGTCGTATCTCCATTACGAAGATCGATGTTCATGATGTTGACCGCTGGATTGTCTGGTCCAGACTCCATTATTTACAGACCACCGCCGTATCGCTGGAATATTCCGGAGTGTTTAACAAGAAACAATCAGTTATGGAGAAACTCTTCACATCCTGGAGGCATCACTTCAAGGCCGCCATGGGGGCGGTGGGGTAGCGTAGTGGTTAAAGCGTTCATTCGTCACATCCAAGACCCGGGTTCGTTTCCCCACATGGGTACAATATGTGAAGCCCATTTCTGGTGTCCCCTGCCGTGATATAGCTGGAATATTGCTAAAAGCGGCATAAAACTAAACTCACTCTCAAGGCTGCCATGAAGTGAAAATATTAAACAAAGACATGCATATGTAATGACTAAGAAAAAAAGCTGTAAAATTTACAATTTAAAATCCTGATTCCTATTTGTTGTTTTCTACTACACTGATCACTGTGTGAGTAATGTCTCACCAGCTTGTAAATAATCCCGTCTGGGACACACCAACCAGTGGTTAACATTATAAACAACATTTGTTTACATGTTCCAGCATCTGCGACTCTAAAAAGTTAAATTGACTTTAACTCAAACTAAAAATACATGTTTTATTAACATGTTGACTCTCAAGTCTGTATTGAAACACATCGAAAGAGATTCTAACTTGTATGATGGCACTGACTAAGGTTGGGACAGGTAACCCGGATATCCGGGATGGGTGGGTAACTTTTTGGACCCGGGTACCTGTCTCAATACCTGGACCCGTTATAATCATGTGACTAATCATGTTATTCTGTCATGATTAAAAGGTTGTATTGTCTTTGAAGATTTAGACATGATTTACAGTCACCCGTTCTGAATATAATACATGATAAAGATATAATTGAAAGACTCAAAATTTTAGCCTCTGAGCTGAAGAATATATTGCCATTGTTACAAATTTGATGTCAGGAATTAACATATCGGGTATCCGGGTAGGATAGGATAGGATAATAGGGGACAGGGTACCAGGGTTGAAAATTTGGAGCCGTCCCAGCCTTAGCACTGACATGTTTGTTTTCACATACCAGTGTTCACGAATGGTGTTTCAAGATAACAGGACATTGGGTCCTGCAAGTTTCAGATGTCTCTCTGACCCACTGAAAATTCACAGGACCCATAGAATAAAATTAAACATACATTTCAGATTTAACATTTCTTATAATTGGCATTGAAATTATTAACAAACACAAGATATATAAACAGCAAACAAGTATCACATGTCACATATAACAACTTAAGTCAAAGTCATTGTGAAATATACACTCAGACACTGGGGCTGGTGGGTTGTAGACTTCTATCGGACCGTTCGCAAATCTGCCGGATTTGTCAGAGGGTCAGACACTATTCATGAACACTGACGTACCCGGGTTGAAAATTTGGAGCCGTCCCAGTCTTAGCACCGACATGTTTGTTTTCACATTCATACCTAAATAGTAGTGCTGGAGCGACTGATTGAATGAAACAGTCAGTCTGTCATTAGAGGTGTGACGATACAGAAATTTCACGATACAATACGTATAACGATATATCTTGAAAAATACGATTCGATTCGATGCGTATCACGATATGCTGTCTATAGTTATTTTCTTTAAAAAAGTGTATTTTGATAACAGTGTAAATTTTCACATAACCGTCAACGACACATATCACGATACGAAAAAAGTATCGATATATTTAGTGTCAGAAAAGGTATCACGATTATCAATACTACAATATATCATCACAGCTCTATCGGTCAGTCTTGCTTGCATCAATGACTATCAATCGGGGGGTGGGCTAATTGATATTCATAGAAAATGAAACATCAAAATTAATTGAAAGAAAGTTTCTTATTGTTATGTTTGTCATATCAAGACATAATCCTGCCTCGTAAAACAGAACATAACCGCATGCTTGATTGTCTTGATCATAATATTAATCAGTGCCTGTTGCCCGTGTGCACAATATCATGACTGTGTCCTGTTGATTGTACACATGAGTTTTGTGGTAGCGTTTACTATTACAATTGATTATTGATCGATAACTGAGCTCCCAGTCATGTCATTGAGTATGTTATGTTTATTAGTTTTCGAGTTAGATTGCAATTCATCGGTCCGCTTTTGAGCCAAGCGGACTATAAGCATCTGAATCACAGGCACAGTGCTGTGGCATAACGCAATACATTGCTGTACCTCCTGATATATTTGTTGCCTCCTCCGTGAAAACAGCTGTTTCTTAGGCTAATTCTTTGCTGTTTTTGCAGTTACAAGAGAGCATGGTGGGAAATCAAGAGGAGATAACCCCGGGAGGAATGTTTCACTGAGATTACGTACCTGCCTTCCAGAGAGTCGGGTAATCAGCCTAAAGTAAGCATCTCATGTTTCAGCGGTCCACTGCATGGTTCCTGGTTTAGTGAGTGAGTGAGTGAGTTACGTTTTACTCCGCTTTTAGCAATACTGCAGACATATCACAGTGGGAGATACTAGAAATGGGCTTCATACAAAGTATCCATGTGGGGAATCGAACCCGTGTCTTTGGCATGATGAGCAAACGCTTTAACCACGAGGCTACCTTCCTGGTTCAGTGTCTTCTCGGGCTGACCAATCTACCTGGAACATTAGTTGAGTCAGCATTAAGCACCCCAGAGTCGACTGCCCCTAGTTTGTCTTTTGGTATTGGTTTTAAGCTGAGGATATTAAATGACTACTGACACCAACTAATTGAAAGTTTTATTTCCCCATAACTGTTGAGGCCAAATTGATTGGTTGTTGTTTAACGCCGCACTCAGCAATATTCCAGCTATATGGCGGCGGTCTGTAAATAATCGAGTCTGGACCAGACAATCCAGTGATCAACAACATGAGCATTGTTCTACGCAACTGGGATTAATGCAAGTACATATAGTATGTTGCGGAGAGGTTTGTAAAGACGAACTTACTATGGATAGGTTTGTTTCGAAAAATGCAAAAATCTGGGTCAAGTATGCACAAATTTATATGTATGTGGTTCACCACTGTGATGTTGCTTCTGCAGATGCCGTCTCGGAGGCGCACCCGGTCTGCCCGCCAGAAGAGCGGTTCCAAGCGGTACTCCATTGAAGCAGATTCTGCCTATTCCCCTGGACTGTCATCTTCGGGTGAGCAGAATCTACCATATAACCCTCACCCAAGCTTATATACAGATTGGTTTGTCTAAGTGTGTCTCAATTAATCCTCCATGTGACTTATGACTTGCTAGACCACTGGGATCTCTATTTGCGCCCTATTTTTTAAAGATGCTATGGCTCATTGCCAGAAAGGAGAACAGATCGGTTTGTAGGCACCAACACATCTCAATATGACCTCAAACTGTCTTATATTTTTACAGTGCTAGAAACGTTTCAAGATTTACCACTAGACTACAGGACCAGTGAGTGGACAATAATTAGTGGTCCTGTCTGTACTTCACTGGTCGAAAATAACATCTGTAGATTTACTTAACTAGCAATACTGTTATATTCATTTGAACTTTTAACATCTTTTAAATTTGTAAAAAAATCCACTGCAAACTTATCATTCAGTTGTCCTGATCAATTTTTGCTAGTCTGAGACCACAGGACAAGCGTAAATTTCTCACTCTAGGGTTTACTTGTGCTTCTGTGATACAGGACCTGCTGGGTATCCTCCCAAAACTTCCACATCACAAAACTTCCACAGCTTATAACAACATTTCTGGTTGACTGCACACACTTTAGCACACTGATTACCTCAGTCTGAAATGATTTAATCCATTAATCAGTAATGAATACAAACAATCACTTAGTAATAAATTATATATTTTATTAAGGCGGGTGGTTAACAAAAATACATACCCTTTCTAGTTACATATAATAGTCTATATAGAACTTATGTCCTATAGTGTCCAGATTTCACTCGCATATTTGACAGTCATAACCCTGTCGTCACTCTGTCATTGTTGGAGCAAGTGGACGGTTCTGTCTCTGCTGTACTTCTGTCTTGATGCACCTGAAGAGTCTGGCGTAGAAGAACATGGCTGTGATAGGGCCGTTATGGTGGTGACATTATATACCGTCACAGTGTCACTGCCGTAACATACAGTCTTTACCGTTTTTTTACATGACAGGGACATCCATAAGTAAATCATTTCTATATTTATTTAAAATTGATTTATCTGTTTATGCCTGGATTTTGTAGTGCAAGTATGTTTGGTCGTAACGCTTCAAGTAAGCATAATATAATTCATATTCTCATTTTGAGTTTTTTTGCTGCATATTACTTTATACTTTATACTGATCATCATTGAAAACGCACCACCTGTAAATTTTGAAATATGGTAATATGATTGTTTTGAGAGTGAAAATGAACATTGGAAATGTTGTTAATAACACAAAAGACAATAAATAATGCTGTACAGTAAAGAACGGATTGCCCGAACACATCATGGAACACATCACATGACAGAACCTGCCAACGCTGTCCAAGGCCGACGTGGTTTGATCAGTGCTTCTACCGTCCGACGCCCTCTCCGTGCGGCAGGATTACGGTTTCAACGCCCTTATGTTGGACCCATCCTGGCGGATAGACATCGCCGTGAACGCCAACGATGGGCTGAACAGCATTGTTTGTGGTTGATACGACGTTGGCATGGTGTTGTGTTTTTCGTTGAGTCACGCTTTCACTTGCGAAATGCTGACGGGCATCTACGGGTATGACGTCAACGGGGAGAACGTTACCATCAGGACTGTGTTGTGCAAACAGATCGGTGGTGTGGAGAGGGATCAGTTATCTTCACAAAACTGCTCTGGTAGTTTGTCGTGGCAGAGTGAATTCCCTTTACTACCGTGACACCATTCTTCAGAACAACGTCGTTCCCCTTCTTTAACCAACTACAAGATCTGCACACATTCCAGCAGGACAGTGCTCTAGTGCACACTGCACATGTTGCAACACAGTTTCTGGCAAACAACAACATTCCTCTACTTCCATGGCCTGCATTGTCACCAGATTTGTCTCCCATTGAACACTTGTGGGATTACATCGACCATCGCCTCTCACATCGCCCACAGATCAAGAACCTTGGGGAACTTGAAAATGCCTTGCAACAAGAGTGGAATGCATTGCCTCAAAACATTATTCAGAGACATATCAGTTCAATGAGGAGACGTTGCACAGCTTGTGTTGCTGCTAACGGTGGTCATACATGTTACTGACTTTCCAATTTGACTCCATCTTTCTTTCATGGTCAGCTGAATTAAAACTTCACTGTTTTGCTGGATTGGTTCTTGTTTCTTTTCTTTACCAATCATTGGACTACAAAGTATTACAATTTACACCGATTGCTTATTTATGCTCTTGGAAATCCAAACTAATACAGGTGGTACATTTTCAATGATGTTCAGTATATTTGCAAATCAGAATTGAAAGGAATTGTTTGGCTTGTTGGACCCTTTTAAGCAATAATATATTTTGTAAAGCTACAAATTTGATATATATGTACATTAAATGTACGTTTTGGTTGCATAATTTAAGTAATTTTTGTATATTCAGAATACTATGAAAGTAATGTATTAACTAACTGCTCTCTTTCCTACTGAAACCTCTACTCGGCTAAGTCAGTTCAGTGCACTTCCTGGGCTATCCTATTACCTAAAAAAGGGGTGATGAGGTGTTGTTGTTTTAACAATGTGTGGTAGTATTGGGATGGGGAAGTTTTGGCATATAACCGACCTGCTGAATTCCGCGGCCAAAATTCTATATTCTGCTGTAAACTTATTTATATTCTGCAACTATTCTAAACAATTTTCATGAATTTGGCAAAAAGGTTCTGCATTCTTTTGCACTACTTTTTAGTAAAAACATTTTTTTACAAAATATATATGTATGTATCCATGATTTGTGAAGTGACAGTCCCATCTTCAAGCTGTAAGATACATGCTCCCTGTAATGACAGGAAGTAGGATTCCTTTGGAAGCAATATCCAGAGTCATGATTCGAACACTTTGATCACACTGGAACCTGAAAGAATATTTTGTCAAACTTTCTCTCGTAATACATTTTGCATTCATTTTACACTTCAGTGTTCAGTTTTCTTGCGGGGTTAATTGTCAGCACTCAACATTTTCTCACCGCGACTGTTTTATTCCTTTGGCTCGTGGTATGTCAGGGGTAGGGCTGGGACGATTCACCGATGCACCCACACATCACAATACATTTAAGTTTGACATTGTATCGTCGACTGGTGTATTGATACAAAACGATATACAACTTTTTTTCAAAACAGTATTATCTTAAACATGTTAAAACATGAGTTACTTGTTTGTTTATTACAATACTGTTATTGTTATACACAAATACCTTGAAATACATCATTTTAAATCTTAATACTGTGTCAATCTTTCAAGGTGTATATATCGTGATACGTATCATATGGCAGGTAAAATATCATGATATGTATCGCATCGTGACATATTGTATCTTCCCAGCCCTAGTCACGGGCTGATTAACTATTTTAGGTCCTGTTTGAATATTTGCCATGAATGTAGAAGAGTTAGTGTGCCATACAGACCCTGAAACAAACATACCCAAGAAAGCCCGTGCAAGTCTACATTACCACAGTTTCAGTTTCTGAAAATAAATTAAGTCTCTTGGCTATTTTGTCATATTTTTTCTCTGTAACATGTGTTAAATTTAAAGAGTACCTAGATGTTTGTATATGAAGAACTCTGTCTTCACAATTTGAATTTTATTGCATGTTTAAACTTTGCATCTGTAGACCCAGTAAAGAATGCTTGTAGCATGCATGTATTTTTATTACTGATAAATAACTGGTTTAAAAGTTATTATTTCTAGATTCACAATCACTACTGTATTAACGAAAACAATGTGAATCTATTTTCCCCAGTCCTTATGTCTATGGTCCATTTGTAGATTCTGGAACTAAACTACTGAACTATGGAATAATTCTTGATGAAACTTGCTATACAAATCATGATTTGGGTTGTATAATTTTCAAAGTTTATGTGTATTTTTCATGATGACACCTATGGCTTTAAGGCTGTTTCTGCCCATAACTCCTAATCCTTGGAATGAGACATTGATCTACAGATCAGCTTAGTGGTGGACTCATTTCTTCTGATGATTTTGCATATTCAGCAGTTTTGTTTCACTGAACTTGAAGAAATTTGGTACAAGTATTCCAGCAGACAGGATGAGTCAGAGGACATGACACACCCTGATGACTTGTTCAGTAAGCAGGATAATGTCATTAGGGGTTACATGGTATACCACGGTATTAGTGTGCAAGGAGTCCCTTACTACCTCTTCTTGTTAATGTCTTGACAATGTTGTGATGTCATGATAATGTCATAATGTCTTCATAATGTCTTGATAATGTCTTGACAATGTCATGATAATGTCATAATGTCGTCATGTCTCGACAATGTCTTGATAATGTCTTGACAATGTCGTCATAATGTCATCATAATGTCTTCATAATGTCATAATGTCGTCATAATGTCATGACAATGTCTTGATAATGTCATGACAATGTCTCGACAATGTCTTGATAATGTCATGACAATGTCTTGATAATGTCATGATAATGTCATAATGTCGTCATAATGTCTCGACAATGTCTTGATAATGTCTCGACAATGTCTTGATAATGTCATGATAATGTCATAATGTCGTCATAATGTCTCGACAATGTCTTGATAATGTCATGACAATGTTTTGATAATGTCATAATGTCGTCACAATGTCTCGATAATGTCATGATAATGTCTTGATAATGTCATGATAATGTCTTGATAATGTCATGATAATGTCATAATAATGTCACAATGTCTTGATAATGTCATGATAATGTCTCGACAATGTCTTGATAATGTCATGATAATGTCATAATGTCGTCATAATGTCTCGACAATGTCTTGATAATGTCATGACAATGTCTTGATAATGTCATGATAATGTCATAATGTCTCGATAATGTCATTGACAATGTCTTGATAATGTCATGATAATGTCTCGACAATGTCTTGATAATGTCATGATAATGTCTCGACAATGTCTTGATAATGTCATGATAATGTCATAATGTCGTCATAATGTCTCGACAATGTCTTGATAATGTCTT